CCCTAAACAAACAAAAAAAGAAAAATGTCTTTTTAATGTAACAGAGTTTAAGTTGCATTGACATATGACTCACATAGATAGTTAAATGGTTTAAACATATCATAAACAGTTGTGCATGGTTCATTATCTTTCCATTCCATGCTCCCCCGACTTTGGAAACCGGTGTGCTTTTAAAAATGTACCACCAATGTGGATTAGTACCATATATACTCGAGTGTAAGCCGAGGCACCTAATTTTACCACAAAAAACTGGGGGGCTCTTTCAGCATAAACAACAGGCTGGAAAAACTCGGCTCACACTCGAGTGTATACGGTAAGTTGAGCAGTAACTGCACCTTTCCATTTTCAGGTTCCAGAAACCAGTGTCTTGGGACAGGTCGGCCACGGCTACAAGTACGCCATAGGGAGCCTTAATGAGGGCAGAGTGGGCATCGCTGCACAGGTGAGTCAGAGGGCACAGCTGGAACCAATGAAAACAACCCAGGAAAACAACCAGTGCTTCTGGGCACAAGATGGCGCTCTCTCCTTACGGAATGTGATCCACTAGCTTCTGTTAGTAATCTCTTTCCAATTCGATTTGCTCAATTTTATGTGTCCGGAGAACCAAACAGTGGCTTCGTAATAACATTTTTCTGCTTTGAGAACGTTAAAGCATTAATCCAGGACCTTTATTGAACTTCTAAGATGTTATAAAATTCAGTGCATCACTCTTTAAAACCTCAACTTTTCCAAGCATGAAATTCGCTCTGAGAAGAGTTTTAAATTAAGAAGAAATAGTGTATATTCCATGTAGGAAGGATCTCTAATCCAGAGATCCTGAAATATCTGTTGCTTCGTGTTTTTTGAATAAAAACCAGGCCAATTCCTTGTGGTCCACTAAATAACATAGTGGGAATTAAATAAGTATCATTTAATTTCAGTTTTTATAACCAAATTTGCCCTTATTATGTGTATTCCACTTTGATATTAAGTGATGTCAGTTACCTTCTGGATTCAGAAGTGAATAAGATCTTTTTTTTTTTTTTTACAACTTAATCGTCTTAAGAAGAGTTGTTCAGTCATCACCCCAATCTCTTTCAGAACATGTTCTTCACGGGCTCGTTGTTGTCAGCTCACCACTTCCCGCCATCCTCCCCTGCCGTGTCCCTAGGTGATTATTAATCTGGTTACTTTCGATAGATGTACCCATCCTGTATTTCATAGACAGAAAACCAGGCGAAACACAAACAGGAAGCAAACAAGACAATGACAACAACCAGCTAAAACAGCAAAACCTCAATAGAAAAGAAAGCAGAAAATGATAAAAACAGAAACAACTTTAAAATTGGCTTCACAGGGAGCTCAAATAAAAAGGTGTTACGTTTTCCCCTAACTCGTCCGCCATCATGGGCTTTGCATGCTCTCTGGCAGGCAGCCAGGCCACTCCCCTCCCAGGCTCGGCCATTACCCACCAGGCCATCTGTGCTCGCTGTGCATGAGGGCGCGTCCCACGTGAAGCCCGTGGCAGGTGCTCCATGCATTAGCTATTGGAACGTTAGGTGGTGAATGAATGAATCTGCATGTGGGCTTCATCCCTACCCAGGCCAGCGTTCCCATGCGCTTCCACACTGTCATTCAAGAACACTGCTGTGCCGGCTCCTGGCCTTCGCCTTTGTCCAGCGAAACATCACCACGTCGCTCTTAATCGGATTGTCCCCAGACACAGGACTAATACAGATGTCCCGGCATAGCGACGCTGCCGTTATCGCATAACCGAATTAAACGTTAAGGTCAGGTAGTTACACCCGGGTTGATAGAAGAAGAGACATCCATGAGGAGGCTTCGAAAAGTTGGTGGGAACATCCCGTCAACTTTCAGTCCTGTCGCCCAACACACTTTCTGAAGCACGCCCATAGAAGAATGAGCTAGAGCATCCCTCCCGGGAGCCCCGCAGTCAGAAAATGTGGCATCTCAGTGTCTGTGCTGCGGGTATTCTACTGAGGTGACCGGCCAGGGACAGCCAATCTTGGCGTCACTGCAGCGTGTGATGTTGGAAGGGTGTGATGGCGGCATCTCCTCTCACAGTCAGGTCCGCTGCCTCTGTGATTCCGTGTGATTTTGGTTTGAGTTGTTTGTCCCCTTTGGGTTTGACATGACATTCTGTTCTCCAGAAAGTTCAAAGTCTCCGAAATAAAACGCTCTATCTCTCTGCCGTTGAGTTGATTCCGACTCACAGTGACCCTATAGAACTGCCTCTCTGGGTTCCTGAGACGGTACCTCTTTACCGGAGCAGAGAGCCTCCTCTCTCCCATGGAGTGGCTGGTGGTTCTGATCTGTTGGTCTTGCCGTGAGCAGCCCAACATGTAAACCCCTCTCCCACCGGGGTGCCTCTCAAAATAAAGACTCAGGGGACATGTGAATGACTATCATAATGAAATATTGATAAATTTGGGGGCATTTCCTCCCTTCCCTCCCCCACAAGCTTTTTTTTTTTCCCCCCACAAGCTTTAATTATTGACTTTCCCCCGCCTTTTTCTAAAACTGACAGTTTGACAGAATTGGATAGTGATTTAATAGCTGCATAATGTTGAAGTTTTAGAAACCATCTCGACGCATGACTCACCCATTCTGAGACTCGGCAGCAGCCAGACAGTTCGGCTTAAATTGTTGCCATATCCGGCCCCATCCTTCCCGCGAGTGAATGAATGTTTCCACAAGATGCTGGAGTGCTGTCTGTCAGCAGAGCTCTGTGACCTGGGGCGTGGTCAAAATGCTGATGCTCCGGCCGCCGCTCCCCACCCCCACAGTTCTGGGGCCGTCCTTCAGCTGTAGATGCTGGTGGTTTTTATTAAGTCCCCTGGACAATTCTGGGAAGCACTCTTTTATGTTCTGATGCCCTTTCCACTGCCGGCCTTATTAATCCTGGTCATATGCAAAACGGGCAGGACACAAGAAAGTTAAGCAGTGACCTTCCACATTTGACTTCTGCAAGGACTGGAGGGGGTGACTCTACTATCTTCAAAGCCAGTGTCTGAGCTAAACTTTTGTGGCTCACCTCCTGCCTGGAGAGCCAGTGCTTAAAGGGAGAAGCTTCCAGAAAGTGGCCAGGCTCCCTGAGCTCCCCACACCAGAAGCCTTCCCTCTTCGCAGGCATGGACGAGACGAGTGGTCCCGGTCTGCTGGTCACTCGGGCTCGGGCTCGGGGGAAGGGTGTAAGCCACACCTCACCCTCTCAGTCCCCCAACGTCTCTCCTGCCCCATGAATCCATTTGCCAGTAAAAGGGAGCTGACCACTCACCACTCGAGTAATCAAAGCATGAACCGGTAGCGCAATCAGTGGTCCTGAGGTCTCTCTTTTCTACTTTTTTTCTTCAACAGATGCTGGGACTGGCCCAGGGATGTTTTGACTACACTGTTCCATATATGAAAGAGCGGGTGCAGTTTGGCAAGAGGATATTTGATTTTCAGGTGCGTCCTGCTCCCCAACTCCCTGTCAGAGGAGAGCGATGCATACAGCCAGTGAGAGTCCTCTCCAAGGGTTTTCATGGAAGGAGGGTAGGGAAGAGGTCTCAGGAACCGAACTTGTGAACACCCTGACCTTCACAAGGAAAACCCAAGTGGCCCCCCGAGGACAGCTGGGGTGGGACTCAGGACGACCTGAACATGCCAGCCCTTTCTTTACTGCGTTCTGAGTCCCGGGGTCTGAGGTCTGGATTCAAACCCGGGTTCTTGGGTGGTGCAGCCCTTCCAGCTCCTGGCGACCCTCTGTCCAACAGAGGGAGACACAGCCTGGCCCTGCGCCGGCCCAGCCAGTGGTCACTGCTGCAGCTACTTTGTCAGCCTGGCCCACGGGGGGCCTTCTTTTTCACTGCCTCTCTACTGTGCCGTGCACGATGCCCTTTGCCAGGGGCTGGTCACTTCGATAACATGTCCGGAGCACGTGAGACAGTCTCACTCTGTTTAAAACAAAAAACTAAACTAAACGCAAAAAAAACAAAACAACTCAAATGCCATTGAGTTACTTCTGATTCCTAGGGACTCTATGCAGACCAGAACTCCCTTTTGGGTTTCTGAGGCTGTCAGTGTTTGGGCTAGCAGATAGCCTCCTCTCTCTCCAGTGGCACGGCTGGTGGTTTTGAACAGCTAACCTGTGGTTCACATCTCACCGCACGACTATTGACGGGCTCTAACCACCCTCAGTGAGGAGGAACTGCTGTGGTGATCCTCTGGCCCTGCCTTAGTGTAGCTGCCGCACTGCGTGCAAACGAGATGCCCTCAGAGAGCATCTTGGGAAAGACCGGTGTGGGGCTGTCTAGCAACCATGCTTCCAGCACACCACCTAAAATTCCAGACTAGGTGCCTAACAGGAGATCTCCCTCGAGCAGTACAGTTTCCGATCACACCCCCGCTGCTTTGCTGTCCCAGGGCGAGTTGTCATGGAGAGGCGCCCGCGGGCACCCTCCAGCAGAAAGGCGCAAGGCCAGGGGCAGGCCCAGTCAGTTCCAGGCCCAGAAGGAGAGCCTGGTGGCTGGGCCAGCACCACCACACCCGGGGCTGCAGCCCGCTACACACACAGGAAGTTGAGGCCGTGGTGGTTTCGATCCTGAGGTCATGTGCTAGAGAGGTACCAGAATGTGAGTTTCCTTCACATTACACAGCCCCAGCCTGCTGCCACAGTGGCGACTCGGAAGATGATTGGGCGGGGGGCTTCCTCATGTGGACGGGAAGTGGCCAGGTGCACTGAGAGATAGAATGTTAGACATTCTTAATAATGCCTGTGGGCAAGGTCAGGGGTTCAAATCCCCCAGCCGCTCCGTAGAAGAAAGGTGAGGCCATCTCCTGGACAGGCTCTGACTCTTAGTGACCCCTAACTTGATGGCATTGGGTCTTGGGGCTTCATGTCCTGAGTAATTTTTAGACTTTTTAAACTCTGGTCTTTAGAAAAGCAGCACTGTCAACTCGACACATTTAGGCGGAGTCTTTCCCAGAGTGCATGGTTTTCGTCTGCGTGGAGACGTGGTGGCTGGCGCTCCGTCGTCTGTGTCTTCTCTCTGGTCCTCCAGTGAGCGTGTGCTCCTGCCAGGCCCTGCCTGTGTAGGCATGCCGCTGGGGAAACGGTACCCACAGGCGAGAGAGTACTCGTAGGGGGACTGAGCCACAGTCGCTCTGTTGCCTGCCAGGGTCCCCATTCCAGTCACTGTGGTCAGTAAATGGTGGCACTCATGGGTTTAATTGAGCTGATTGCACATGTCAACATTCATCAGAATCTCACAGAGCAAGCAGAAAGCAAGTTCTAAACAGTGATTGTGCACAGGAACAGATACTGTGATGGAGGCACCCACCATGGGGCTGGGGGTGGGGTGGGGAAGAGGGGAGTTGGGATCCGATAAAGATGACCCTGCAGCTTGGTGGAAACAATGGAAGTGGATCTCTACCTTATGCCATACACAGAACATAGACTAGACTTCAGGTGTGTTAAAGAAGCAAAACTTTCAAAGTAAGAAGCAAAACTTTAGGACCTCATGGAAAAATTTGTACATAAAATGCAAAAAAAAAAAAATCTTAAAGGATGATAAGATGGGTGAACTTGACTACTAAGTTTCTTTTCCTCAAAAGATGTCATCACGTGAAAAACCAAGTCACACAGGTACAAATACTTGTTTGACACATAAACTTGGTAGTGGCTGATGGATGCTAAGCTTACAGTTACGTTTCCTAACCTTCAGCATGTGTGTGACGTAGCCCTTTGTCCGCAGGAAATATTGCAGAAAAAAATACTGTTGGGTATTGCAAACACTTTTTCTCCAGTTTATCCAATTTTTTTTTTAGAGACCATTGAGCAGTCATCGCCTCCTAACCTTTCTCACACAGTGTTACCATTACTTCCGTTTCTCCCGTGGACTGCGAATCATGAGCTCAGGGAACTCTGACGGGATTGTCCAGGGGGACACCTCCCTGCCTTAGTAGGTGCACAACAGATTTTCAGGTTGTCAGGCATGAGAAATCGTTCCTTTTTAAAAATAATGTATTCTGTTTTAAAGTTTAATTAGTTCTTTTGTTGGTTCTTGGTAATATATACAAGAAAACAGTTGACATACAAGCATGTTCTGGGCATCTGTTCCACCTCGTGGTTCTGTGCTTAGTGCGTAGGGTCCTGAAAGTTGTCTGGTGTCATCGGGCCACAACTATTGCTCTCTGTCCGCCTAGAGCAACGGGCAAAGGGGGGGAAGGAGGAAATGGCATGGTGGCTAATTGCTTCCCTGGACAGCTGCCTCCTTTTCTGTGAGCCCAGAAGGACTGGCTAGTGCTTAGCTACCACCACGGAAAGATTTTGTAGAGGAATGCCGATCAAAAGGGGGAAAATTCAGAACAAATTTCAAAATCTCATGGAGTCTAGACATTGTGGAACCATGAAAACTGGAGGTGCCCCTGAAAGTATTGCCCTGAGATCATCTTTAGCCTTAAGGCAAAAATATTCCCTGAATTTAAAACAAAACAATAGTTTACCTTATAGTTTTTTTTTAAGTGTCCCTTGAGGATTATGCTTGTTTTAAGAACTGTACAGGCTCAAGTTGACAGTAACATGAACCACAGATGAGGTAGGACAGTGGTTCTCAACCTTCCTAGCACTGTGACCCTTTCATACAGTGCCTCATGTGTGATGACCCCCAACCATAGAATTATTTTCGTTACTATTACTTCATAACTGTCATTTTGTTACTGTTATGAATCATCATGTAAATATCTGATAGGCAGGATGTATTTTCATTGTTACAAATTGAACATAATGAAAGCATAGTGATTCATCACAAAAACAGTATATAATTATATTGTGAAGTATTTATTTCTAATGACAAATAAATGAAATTTTATCTCAAAGCATGGTGTAGCATGGGTAACAGTCTTAACGCCGGGTACTGATATGTGGGCATAGCTGCATGTGGGCGGACCTGCCTGGAGACGGATAGAGGAGGGCTGTCTCGGTTCCTAAGACCATCAGAAATGTTTTCCAATAGTCTTAGGCGACCCCTGTGAAAGGTTCATTTGACCCCCAAAGGGGCCGCAACTCACAGGTTGAGAACCGCTGAGCTAGGGGCCATAAGGAGCAGTGAGTCCATGTTAAGGGACAGACAACATCTCAGAAAAGGCTGTGAGATTGGTTCTACAACTCGAGGGCTGTACTCGACGTCACTGTACATGCAGAAACCGTTGCATGTACTCGGCGTCACTGTACATGCAGAAACTGTTGCATGTACTCGGTCACTGTACATGCAGAAACCGTTGCATGGTGCATTTTTGTTGCTGAGAAGATGAGCAGCAAACACCTAAACTCATTCAAGTTTCTGCGTGTACATGCAATGAACATGTTCCCATTTGTAAAGAGCAGCTAGTTATGCCTTGTATTTCTAGGAAATTGTTACTAAAGATAACACCAGGATTCGTGTTCTCATTCTTCCATGGACTGATGTTTAGCATATGCCTACTCACCTCGTTCACATTTCAAGGTGGTAGTCAGTTCTATAGAGCACTCTTTTAAAAAGTTATTCTGTTGTCTATAATCTCAAAGATATTGGTTCCTGTTCATCATATTGCAGTAGAACCACTTTGATAATATCACTTGAAGGGAAAAAAAATCAGTGCGTGAAATATTCCTTCATTCCTTTGTAGCTGACAGCTCTGGGTCCCTTCCAGCCTCCTGCAGCATCGCTGTTTGCCTCAGTTCAAGTTAAAGAAGAGCAGACATGCTTAAGTTTAGTTGAAGTTCAGGGTTGGGGAATAATTATTAACTACAACAGCCACATTTTAAAACCCAACTGTGTTCATTAATTATGTAAATCTTGACTAGTGTGAAGAATTGCATGAACTTTGGAAATGTTCTGTGGAAAGAGGATCTCACGGCAACCTGTCGTGTCATCTTTCACTTTCAATTGCAGATTTCAGAGCTTGCAGGTTTCTGTGTTCTGTAGTCAGGCCAGCCGGACTCTGGAGGCTGGGTCTTCAGAAATCCCAGGTCTCACTTGGGCCCGAATATTACAGGGTCTCCAACACCAAGTGGCTCATGTGGCCACCCAGCTGGAAGCTGCCAGATTGCTGACCTACAACTCGGCCAGACTCGTCGAAGCTGGAAGGCCATTCATAAAAGAAGCATCTATGGCCAAGTACTATGCATCAGAGGTAAAGATGAAAAATCTATACTGCGAGCCTAATTGTTTTCCAGATGTGGAATTATTACTGGGAGTTGGTTGAGAGTTTGCCTTAAATTCCCATGAACTTCCCAGCTCCTCGGATAATTCTCTCATCAAAAGTAAAGCAGTCATAGAGTGTGGCCCTGGTTCTGTGCGTCAGATGATTTCACCGGGCCTTAGGTGGAGAACCAGTAGCCCAGGTTAAGTCGAGCAGCTGTCGTAAACCCAGGGTGAGTGTCTCCATCCTCCATGGCTGCTGCAGCACAAAGACCCCAGGGGGATGTCTTTAACAAGCAGGCCTACTTTCTCACTAGTCAGAAGGCGGGCAGCTCTAATCCAGGGTGCCTGCTCCAGGGGAAGGCTCTCCCTGTGCGTGTGTCAGCTCTCAGCAGCTCCTCTTTCCGGGGGCCTTGGAGATCTCCATGTGCCTGGCGTCCGTCCACCTTCCCCCAGGTCTGCTTCTCTCACTTGCAAGTTTAATCTCTTTTATATCTCAAGAGGTTGGACTCAAGATCCATCCTCCGTTAACATGAAGACGACGACTCGGCCCCACATGGGATCACAACCCCAGGCAGAGAAGCTGGGATTCAAAACTCACAATTTGGTGGGGAGTGGAGTGGGGGGGAGGGGAACAATTTAACCCCAAACCATGCACTTGAGCTTGAAATTGGCATCAAACCCAGGACTTCAAGGTGGGGTGGGAAATGCCATGGAAAATGATGTGAAGACAATGAGGTTCATATATTCAAATACTTCCCATCTAAGTCCTGCCAGCTGCCCTGGCAAGGTACTCTCTCTGCCCTGTGTCCTGTGTCACCTTGGTGACTGCTGGTTTAATGCCTGGGTCTCCGAATGGCCAAGAGACCCTCCCACTGCCCACCATTGTACACCCTGTGGGCATAAGAAGGCATCTGGTCAATATTTGTTGAGTAAATGATAATTTGTCAGCAAGGATATGAGGCTGAGCAATATCTTAGCTGCCTTGAAGAAATAGGGGTTTTGTGAACTAATGGAATATTTTACAAACAGGGTCAGGAGAAAGGGACACAGTAGACAAGGCTTCCCAGTGCCAGTCAATCCGCCTCTCCAAAAACATCTCACAGCTGCACCTGCCGTGGCTTCTACCTGTGACTCTGGGCTTCTTTTCTGTAGGTGGCCGGATTAACCACCAGTAAATGTATCGAATGGATGGGCGGAGTCGGCTACACCAAAGACTACCCTGTAGAAAAATACTTCCGAGATGCCAAGATAGGTAAATGTATTCTCCACCCCCAACCCCCAACCCACGCCACATTCTATTTTATTTTGTTGTTTACCCCTGTCAGTCTTTGGCTGTTACCTTGTTTGCTATATTGTGGCTACCTAGGCAAAAGCAATCATAACCTTTTGAATACATGTTTATTGGCTCTCTTCTAATGGCTAAACTACACACGTACACACACACACACTCTCTCTCTCTCTCTTCCTTCGAAAATGTGGGTTTATATTTCAGGAAACGTCAAACACCTTTTTGAGTGCCCCCATAAGCCTTTTATTAAAAGCTGCTATAAAGCCAACTACCTCCGTTTTTCTAACTCCCACTCAGAGTGTTTCTCTTTGTGATGGTGCTGTGACTAGTCCGGGAGGCGGGGCTCTGGTTTCAGAATCGAGGTGTCCAGTTCAGCCCGTGAGTTCCAGGGCTCTCCCAGAGAACCAAACCAAACCAAACTCACTGCCACGGAGTCGATGCTGACTCGCACGTGGCGGCCCTGGAGGACAGGGTAGAACTGCCCCTGTGGGTTTCCCAGACTGTCAGGCCGAGTCTTTGCCCCCACTGCCAGAAACGCCACCCCTCAAGCCAGAGCAGCCTCGCTGGGCCGTAATCAGTTTCTAAACAACGATGTTGGTAGTTCTGGAACCCAAACCCTCAGCTCTTCTGGAAATCTAGGAACCAAATGGCAATGGGTCATCTTTTAGGCAAAACTGAGCCAAAGCATCAGGTAACCGAGATGCTGCTGAGCTGGCTTCTGCCTGTGATTAAGTGCACGTGCTGGAGCCGCCTTCCTTGATGACTTGTTACACAGTCTTGTGGGGCAGAAACTCCCGGTGCGATTCAGTTAATGAATTTCAATTATTTGACCACTGCTTCCTTGAGCTTTGATTGTGGGCCCAAGTAAAATAAAATGGTTGACACCTTAAGTGTTTTCTTCTTTAATGATGTTATTCATTGGTCCTGTTGTGAGGATTTTTGTCTTCTTGACATTGAGTTATGATCCATACTAGACTGTATTCTTTCATTTTCATCAGTCAGGGCTCCAAGTCCTCTTTGCTTTCAGCAGACAAGATTGAATCTTCTGCATATTGAAGGTTACTAATGAGCCTTCCTCCTAATCTGATGCCGCAGTCTCTTCCTATAGTTGAGCTTCTAGGATTGTTTGCCTGACATACAGATTGAGTAAGTCCGGTGAAAGGACACAATCGGACACACAGCTTTCCTGGTTTGAAACCATGCAGTCTTTATTCCCTTGTTCTGTTCACACAACTGCCTCGTGATCCCTTGTTCTGTGCAAATGACTGCCTCTTGGTCCATGTACCCGTTCCACGGGAGCACAGTGAAGTGTTCTGGAATGCTCATTCTTTGCGATGTCATCCATGGTCTGTAATGATTCGACACCGTGGAATGCCTTTGCGTGGCCAATAAAACACCAGGAAACATCTTTCTAGAGTTCTCTGCTCTCGGTCAAGACCCAGTCAGCATCAGCAGTGGTAACCTTTGTTCCCCACCCTCTTCTGCGTCGAGGTTGAATTTCTGGCAGCCCCCTGTCAATGTACTGATGCAACCATGGTTGACTTACCTTCAGCAGAAATGTGCTTGTGTGTGTCATTCATGATATCGTCCAATGATTTCCACATTCCTTTCGGTCACCTTTCTTTGGATTGGGCACAAATACGGATCTCTTCCAGTCAGTTGGCCAGGAAGCTGTCTTCAGATTTCCCGGCATAGATGAGTGAGTCTTTCCAGAGCCACACCAGTTGGTTGAAGCATTTCCATTGATATTCCATCCATTCCTGGAGCTTTGATTTTTGCTAATGCTTTCCGTGCAGCTTTGAATCTTCCCTTCGGGACCCTTGGTTCTTGCTCTTATGCTGCCTCTTGAAATGGATGGATGTCAACCAACTTTTTGTGTGCCTTGCATCAGTATAGCACTCCGAAGCTTATGTTTTCCCTTCAGGTCTCAGCATGGCAGTGCTGAGCTTGCTCCTCCATTCGTGGCTCTGGAACTCCAGACCTGTGCATATTTCCTTTCAACACTTTGTCTTCTCGAGCTGCCTTTGGAGCTTTCTGTTCAGCATTTTTCCTTCGTCATTTCTCCCATTTGCTCAATTCAAGTATTGGAGACTCTTCTGACATCCACCCTTTCTTCCGTCTTCCTTGTCTTTTTGACGACCTTTGCTTTCTTAATTTATCCTGCCCTCGATGCCCTCTCAACTCATCCAATTTCCGTCATTGGTGTCCACCCTGTCGAGTCTGTTCTGCAGAGACCCTGGAGATTCAAAGTCAGGTGTGGTGCTCTCAAGGTGGAATGCTCTCAAAGTTATAGCCAGCTCTTGTGGGCTTATCTTCATTTTCTGTAGCTTCAGCCTGAACTTGCCTATCTGAGAACTTGACGACCTGTTGCACATTCCGTCTCTGGCCTTTTGGCTGATGATCTAAGCTTCCCTCTTGACACTTTAGACAGATGTGGTCAGTTTGATACCTAGGTAATTTCATTTGGTGAGGTCCATGTGTATAGTCACCACTAATGTTGCTGAAAAAACCCAAACTATTTGTAATGAAGAAGTGGTTGGACTTGCAAGATTCTGTCATGCATTCTCCAGCATCAGTTCTTTCACCAAGGCCATATTTTCCAACTAATCAGTCCTTCCTCTTTGAATCTAACTTTCACATTCTAATTACTAATAATTAGTGATTCATCTTAATTACATGTTTGATCAATTTCTGATTTAGGAAGTTGGTAAATTCTTCCATTTCTTTTATCATTGGCTCTTGTGGTTTGCGTGTAAATTTGAATAATAGTTGTGTTAGACTGGATTGACTAGAGAATCAAATGCAAGGACATATATATATATATATACACACATATATATATATGTAAGAAAGAGCTTTATATTAAAGAGTAAGTGTATATTGAGAAAACACCCCAGTCCAGTTCAGATCATGTCCATAAATCCGATATTAGTCCACAAGTCCAATACTAGTCCATAAATCCTTCTTCAGACTCACACAGTACATGCAATGATGCAAAATGCAGGAAGATCACCAGCCTGTGGGTGCAAGGTCTTGTGGATCCAGGAGTGGGGGAGGCATCTCAGCGCTGGTGCAGTTCTCCAGGTGGCTCCTCCAGCTCGCTGAGTGTCTCAACAGCAGGAAAGGGATGCAGAGGAAGGGGCTCCTAGCAGGTCTCAGCACGTTTCCACATGCCTTGTCAGCAGGAAGACAAGGCAGAGAGAGAGGAGGTTTCCAGAATCCTCCTGAGAAGGCCACGCCCATAAGGAGGCATCATCAGTCTGTGACCTGATTGACAGGCTAGACTCCACCCCTACACTTATTTATCAAGTTGACATGAAATTGTGTAACCACCGCAATAGTCATAATAACTTGGCCCCATTTGTTGGTGTTTAGCGATTACCCTATTAAAGACAGCATTGTACTTCAAGATGGGTCATGAAATGAACTAATGGCTAGGCTATCGACCTTTATGCATGCCATTTTGTTTTTAAGGACTTCCAGTTTTCCAGATTTATACTTCCTTCTACATTCCAATTATTATTGGATGCTTACAGCTGTTTCTTCTCAATTTGCATTGAGCCCCATCAGCAAATAAGAGTCCCCCAGACTTACCGTCCACTCCGTGAAGGTCGATGCTACTTTGAGGAGGCAGCTTTGCCCCAGTCGTAATTTACATGCCTTCCAACCGTGGGGGCCCATTTCTGGTACCATACCAGACAGTGTTGTGCTGCTATTGATACGACTTTCAGAGGCTAATCCAGCAGAAGTGGACTGCCCCTTCCTGCTTGCTAGACTGTCTTAGTGTGGTTGTGCCACCAACACCTGTTCACCAGAGGTGACCCTGCTGTTACTTGAAATACCAGTGGCCTAGCATCCAGCGACATCCAACTCATCACAGCCGATAGGCACAAGCTGATAGCACACTTACAGTGACCCTACATAGGTTTCTGAGGTGGTCAATAAGGGGAGGTGGTGACACTGGGCATAGATCATCATTTAAACACAAACTCTCAGCCATCGAGTCCATTCTGACCC